GGAGGTGGAGATGCCCTTTTTATTTAACACCTTGCTTACGAACGTCGTATAAGACGACATATTATTTTTGTCACGTCGTATATTACGACATTGCACGAAGGTCATTAGCAAATGGCTCGGAAAAGTTTTTTCAATACTTTAATCAAGTTACCACAAAAATATAATCTGCGAGAGGTCATTTTGCTACAAGTCAAAACCAGGCCAGGGGAAGGGGGTCAGCCACGTCGTGAACAGCCACTCATTCGACATTTTGCTGGATGGTGCGCATACGGAATAGTCGACGCGAGAAGCCCGCCGTGCCGGCTGCCGCTACACACGATATTGACTTTGGCCACTTATGGCGGCAGCTTCGGGCGGCGGGGTGGAAGTCCAAGCGTCCGAGTGGCCTCCAGACTGAGTGGAGCTACTCGAGTCCTGACAACACGCACGTCTTCGTGGGGGAGAAATCAGTCGTGGACTACGCATTCGACAGTGGCTTGCTGGAAGAGGCGGATGCTGATGCTCAAGTCCGAGATGAAGGAGGTGGGGAACTAGACCAAGCAGGAGCTGGTAGTAGTGGTGAAGAGCAACAACACGAGGGAGAAGACGTCGTTCGGCCTTCCCAGGTCGACACGAGTGTCCTTCTTTCGCAGCATACCATTGATCGAATGTTCGGCACCCCAAGTGAGGATGACATCGAGCTGTCGCAGACTGCAGTGAGCAGAGCATTCAATCTATCCTCAGGAGATCTACAAGACGGAGGTGCCCGCGAGGCCGCTGCTGGACTGCATTTACTTTTGGAGGCTTCTCGATTAGAGAGCGAGGGTGATGTAGACGAAGAAGAAGCCGCTGCATCTCAACCTCGACGACGGACACTTACGCCGTTATCAGGCAAAGAGGACGTGAATGTTTTGCTGGATGGGGAGAAGCCGAGTGACTACGAGAACTACAGCTCGGGTGATAGCGACGACGACGGCATGAGTGATATTAACAGCGATTCCGGAGCCGGGATGTCCGAGGAAGATGACGACGTCCTGTCCGACAGTGACGCAGTTGAAATGGACAAGGCTTTCATTGCGGCACTACAGGTGGGCAATAACGCACTTAGCAGAACCGCTGCAACGGAGAGAGAGCAGACACTACGAGGAATGCAGTGGACGCCAGTGTCTTCGGAGTACGAGACAGATGCTGCTGCGTACCCTGGACTGGGCACCGAAGAAGCAAGGCCTGTGCCCGACCTGCTGCAATTATGGAGATCGCCAATCCTCACCTTCTTTTATTTCATGCCGAAGTCTCTGTGGGTTTCTATCGCGGCTGAAACGAACCGATATGGTCTACAGCAAGCTGGCAAGCGCGCCCGTAACATTCAGGCACGGCAGACTGACCTTCGGCGTGAAATGATCAAGCAGATTACACGTCGTTTGAAGGCTAAGGCAGCATACTCTACACACGAGATTCTTCACGTTGTTGGACTCCTCGTTGCACGGATGCTCTGCCCTCAAAAGAAACGATTTGGTGCGCACTGGAGTATGGTGGAAGACAAGGCTGTTCCCGCCGGTCTTTTCGGGCGGTTCATGACGCGTGACAGGTGCCAGAGTATCATGCGAGACTTGCACTTCGTAGACAACACGATTGACCACGGTAACGATAAACTCTGGAAACTTCGCCCCGTTGTTGACAAGGTCCAAGAGCGCTTTTTGCTGGGGTGGTCTCTTTCTGCTATTTTTTCGTTTGATGAGGGTATACTGCCGTCCACGTCGAAGCGGAATACGACCCGGATGTTCATGGCCGACAAGCCTCACCGCTACGGGTCCAAACTATTTATGGTCTGTGACGCGCAGACGGCATACTGCCACAGGTACGTTTAAAATTTGTATGTCGTAACTATCTACTTTGTGTTTGCCTGACAACAGTGAATGTCGTAACTATCTAGGTTCGAAGTTTATGTGGGTAAGCGTGCATCTGCTGATGGACCTGACACCTCAGTTGACTTAAAGACTGGAGCTGCAGCCGTGGTCCGGAATTCGAAGATTGTTCTCGCCCAGTCTCGTCACAAGTGGCATACCGTCGTGATCGATCGCTACTACTCGTCCGTGCTCCTTGCGATTGAGCTCCTGAGTATGAAGGTGTATGTTATTGGCACGATCATGACTAATCGGCTTGGATTCAACCCGAATCTCAGGGCTACGAGCAAGACACGCCCAGTGAGCATAACCCACGGTACATTCTCGTTCTCTCGCTCTATCGCCATCCCGACCATGATTTCCTGTGTTTGGTGGGACCGGAAGCCCGTCTATTATCTCTGTACGGGCTCCATTATGGCGGCGTCGACAATTGAGCGAAAAATAAAACGTATCGGTGCGGTTCGAGTGCCGTGCCCCTCTGCTGTAAATGACTACCAGAACTGGATGAGCGGAGTTGATGTCCACGATCAACTCCGTCTCCAGTCGTATTCACTGCAAATGTCGACGAGGTTCACGAAATATTATAAGAGCCTATTCTTAGGTTTGCTGGACATGGTCATGGTAAATGCGTATCTTACGCACAAAGAGGGGGCCAAGATCAAGGGGATGGCTGCTATGAAGCGCTCAGAGTGGTTTTGCGTCCTTCAAAATCAACTTCTCCAACTCAAAGCCGAAGATTTTGCTGGAGTGGAGGCAACACCGCCTCCTGCGAGCCAAAAGCGCCAGCGCACCCCAGTACGCCTCACGCACGCGCTGCAGCAGTCTGAAGATTGGGTTACCGTTACTGGGGCCCAGAAACGCCGGCAGAGATCGTGCAAGGTCTGCGCGCTCTTGCGTACTGAAAAGAAGAAGTCCTTCGCAACAACGTTCTTTTGCGAGCGCTGCTCCGTTGATAATGCGAAATGCTGGTTGTGCAACCGTATTCGACGGGAATACAAGGGCGCTGCGAAGACATGCTATGATATCTGGCATGATGACTTCGACGCCGGGCAAGCTATCCCACCAAACTTAGGGAAGCGCATTGTGCTCCGTCGGCCCCGGCCAGAAAGCTGGCCAAAGAAAGAAGACGCGACGGGAACTTCGACTTGGGCACGATGCTGGCAGCGACGACGGCAACGGTGGTGACAACGAGAATGGTAGTGATGACAAGTGAGCTTGGTTGCGTGTCAGTTGATTAGTGATTTGTTTCAAATACACAGCTTCTTGAACCATCGTACCTTCGTCCTTGCGTTTCTTGATTTAAGTGGACTGCCTGTGAAGCAATTTAGCCATCTGTTGACTGCACTTGCAGTCAGTTACGACATTGAGCAGGCAATACTGTCGCTGAATCCCGTCAGAGTTACGACATTGAAAGAAAAACCTGTTGAAAATTAATGCACCTAACCTCACGTCAAAAAGTGCACCCATACAAATACGTAGTAACATTGATATACCGTATCTTACGACATGCGCTTACGCGCTCTGGGCAAGTACCGTCCGGACGCAAGGTGTTAATAGTCTTTTTTTTAATAGTCTAACGAAATTGGGCCCTATTAATACCTGATTTAGCCGGGTACAAAGCAACTACATGTAGTGATATTTGTCCCTATCGGTCAACACAGATGACTCCTTATATCTATTTAGTGAAGGTAGCTCCATAACATATAATAAAATTGAAAAGAACTTAGTATGACACAAATCTAAGGGAAGGATGAAGACTGCTCTGATAGAGCAGAGCAGAGAATTTTTAGTAGAATTACTACCTAATATATCCTCTATAGGCAGAATTAGAGCCCTCTTTTCACAGACCCCAGACATGGTGGCTATGAAACCTGTCAAGGAAAAATTATATCTGCAGACCTGGCTGGAAAAAACAATTGATTCCAGACTGTAGCGGGGTGTAGCTACAACTCTTTGACTACACGCTGCCTCAATAGCGCCTGAATGTTCAATCATAACTGAGTACCGTCTATATGTAGACGTACCTTCTTTTCGTATGCAAGATCAAGCGGGTGTCTCGACCTAATATTAAGCGCTCTACTCAAAATTTCCGTGCGCGGTTGAACGCGAATGCAACATCCCAAATCTGCAATAGACTTGATATCTTAAGCACGATCTGGGCACGTTTGTAATTAACAAGAAATTTGTAAGCAAGTGACCCACTGAACACTGTAATATTAGTAGTAGAGCCAAAACGGCAAATTTGGTCGAATTTTACAATATCGGAAAACAAAACTAGCCATACTCCATTACATGTAAGAATGGGATTATTATGGCATATCATAGCCCAATATTTTTTTTTAAACTTGCCTTCTGAAAATAATGGTTATATTTCAGAAAGCGTACTTAAGAAAGTGCTATTCGTGAAAACGTGACCTTGAATAGTGATTTGTGAGGGATATGTTTTTAGTTGAATGAGCGAATTGAGGACAACAATATATTGATAGGGTATTGGCATCTTTCATTTCTGCAGAATTACTTATATTGCGGGTTACTGTTGAGATCGGTTTGCGGCCACGACAAAAATTCAAACCAGCACTGTATGTGCAGCAGATTACTCCGCCTCGCACGGCTTCGTAGTAGTTCGTCGGCGACGACCGAAGCGTAGTACGGATACTACGCTTCGATCATCGCATGCAAGGCCACGATAAATATGTACATTCTAAGCTCCTTCTTGGTGGACCCACTCCAGACTACGCGACCATTGCAGGGCCTCCGCTACGCTGCGCATAGCTGGTCTTCTACTGTACTGTAGTGATACATGTGTCCCGCCGGAAAGCCACTTTTCAACACTAGGCAGGTTTCGAAATCGGCTCTATTAACTCTACTCCACCCTCAGACCAGAACATTTAGGCAGATTGCTTTATCAAAAGTTTCTGCCACGGGAAAGTCACAACTGTCGTCATCAAGATTTGAAATTGCAACATGTTGCGACCAGAGAGCCCTGTATCATGGGATTGGATATATGATGTGAGGTGGTGCTGCCGGGCAGGTGCATGTACTGTAGTGCCTGTGCACTGCACAGCACTGGCCACTTCAAATTCTGCTCTCCAACACCCAGCCGGACGAACGGAAGCCATGCGTTTGGTCTGTGTTATCTTTTCGATCTTGTTCCTTCTTGCTGGATTCGATGCTGGCTCGGCACTTGTCGACTCTGAGAAGGCCTACATCAACCGACGCGCACCTACTGCAGAAAGACATTTAAGATCGACAAGCGAAGCTAGAAATGACAAGATCAGAGAAGAGAGAGCTGGCACGTCAAGTGTTCAACACATTGCAGATAAGGTGGCTGCTAAGTTGATGGAGAAGATGAGCATGAATCCATCGAGCATTTTCAGTCGGTTACGTTTTGGAGAGGCTGGCGCCAAGCTTAGCAGCAACAACTAGGCGTTCGTCGCGTGGCTTCAATATGTGAACAAGTTCATGGCGACCAAAGGAACAGTTCAATTCTCCACGCATCACTTATTCAACCTCTTATGGAGAAATGCTGAGTCGAAGGGAGACCTGGTACAGCTCTTCCAGTCGCTCAGTCGTGTTGAGGGCATGAAGGATCTCGCACACACGATGCAGCTGTACATGTTCCAAGCGTCAAAATCCACCCGCAACGTGATGAATACGGTGTGGTTGCAGGCCTTTGAAACTCCTGCCGAAGTATTTACCACGTTACGTCTTGCAGACAATACTTTCGAAAATTTTAATCGCCCAAACCTGATTGGGTGGCTAAGGTATTCTAAGGACTACAGCAAGAGTGTGGGCTTTTCCACCAAGGACACATTGGATCTCTTGATGAAGGCACCCCACAAGAGAGACACGGACTTCGGACTGCTGTTCTTGTCACTAAAAAAAGAATCTTCGATCCAGAAGGACGCTGGTGTGATGAAGCTTGTTGAAAAACTACAAGCTCAACTTTTCAAGAACTGGATGGACAGCAAAATGACACCCGACTTAATCGCAGGAAGGGTTGTCAGCTCGGCGACAACTAACTGGGAGCGTGTTTTCAGCCTGCCTATAACAGATCCCAAATTTAAGCTTGTGGAAGAGTATACTTTAAAGTATGCAGCAAACGAAGGGGGTGATCTGTTGGCCAGAGTGCAGAAATTGTTTGAGCAGAACAAGCCCGTAGATGCACTTAAGGCCGCAATGGCGGCTACGTAAAGTGTCCGCGGTTGTGCTGAATTGCACTGATGACAATGCCGTGTTTCACGGAGAAGCTCTGGATTACACTACTGTGTGTAGGGCGGTTGCTTCACCATTGGACGCCGCCCATAAGTGTCATATGCAATCTCTAAAATATAGTGCACAGGAGCAAAATATCTATGATTTCTGATCTATATCGCTGCCCTGATACCGTATTCCTTATGTGATTGGCGACGCTCGGTCATTAGCGACAAGCTTGGCGACCAATATAATTTTAAACATGTAATATAGTTTTTCTATGCAGGTATCTGTTATGCTGGCAGAATTTGACTGTCGCCAATCACATAAGGAATACGGTAATGCAAAAAACCAAATCTACACCTTTTCAACTTCAAAATGGCGACAGGTAAAATCAAAGTGACAAAACGTAAGTTCAAAGTGACATGACACTGACACTTAATATTTATACTTTTCAAGCCAGGAATTTATCATTTTATTATAAATGTAAATATTTTTTGAGTGATAATTTGTCGGCTATCTTCAGAGCAGGAGCTCGCAAATTTGTGTCTTGCTTGTACACTGAGAGCTTGAAAACTTCTTGCAGTTGATAATTAGGCTCATGCTTAGTAGCCTATTCATATCTTCACTACCATCTACTCGATTTCCGGACGAACTCCCCACTCAGAATTTCGGTTTTTGCAATGTAGCCATTGCCAAGCTCGCTCGAATTTGTTTTCTTAGTGCAATGTAAAGCAGTATCTTCATTATTTTTGCCATTGATGCCCCTTCTTCTTCTTACTTCCTTTGATGATTCACGTATCGTAGCGCCAGTAGTGAGAGTAAACGAACCAAATTATCAAAATGCCGACATTGCTCCAGATGTCGCTGTGTTTAATGAGGAAATTCGTTTCCAAATACTCTTTCAGCGTCATTCCGTCGGGCAAACCTGGAGGCGTACCTGTCATCTGCTGGCAGCCTCGTTGATTGCCGTCTCCATCACTAGGACAGTCGCCGAACACGATGGCTGCGAGACTGGAGAAAGCGTACTTGTTTGGGATGTAGCCACTTGTAGCCACGTGGAATCGATACAGCCGGAGGGTTACAGCCCGCGAATAGAGTGCAGATAATGTTGACAATTATCATAAAAACGGATGCCACTTCCAGACTTGGTAGAAGGAAAGCCAGGAACTGTCCGAAGTACGACATTAGCAGCACAATCAACGAAAGATTGAGCCAGAAGGTCATGAATGCAGCGACGCCCGTAAAGCCCGCCATAGGATAGAAAATCGCCATGAAAAGCAGTGTTGTGCCAAAACAATACGGAATCTCGACCAAAGTCGCACCGATAAAGTACCAAAATGCGTTGAAGGTTTCTGAGGCTCGCTCGCGATAGTAAGACGCTTGCTCTTTGCAGGTGATAGGCAGAGAGCCGTTGAAAGTGATGATGGTCATGTTAACCGCAGCCATGTAGACCATACCCATGCCCGAGTTGACGCCCTGATAGGAATCATATTCCGTATCCAAGTACGAAACACCTAGTGACACAGCCAAGACCACAGCTACGATAACTCGCGTCAAGTTGAATGATGGCGTTCTCCAGTACATGTCAAACCATCGCTTAGTCAAGAACTTTGCCTGCGTCCAGCTGCTCGCAGCTCGCTTATTTCCAAATGTTATGGCTGGTGTAGAGGGCGACGGGCGCGTGATCCCCTCGCAATCTAGATTTGTCTCCAGCCAGCGGTATTGCTCGCTCGACTTGAATATCTCCACAAAATCCATCTTGGCGCTACTATCGTTCCCCACGCCAGCACCGATCACCTCCAACATCCACGTCGCAGGATTGTTTCCAACTTCCAGCGTGGAGACACCGTCCATCGACTCAAAGTACGTCACCAAGTTCGACGCCTTCTCTCCAAGATCGCCGAAGAACACCATCTCGCCTCCGCGCTTAAGCAACAACAAGCTATCAAACACCCTGAACACAACTGCTGAAGGCTGGTGAATTGTGCACACGATAGTTCGACCCGTGTCTGCCACCTTGCGAACGCCATCCATGATGAGCTTGGCAAAACGCGCGTCCAGACCACTCGTCGGTTCGTCCAGGAACAACACACTGGGCTGGGCTGCCAACTCCACACCGATAGTCAGTCGCGTCATCTGTTCCGTGGAGCTACCACGAATAATCTGATCAGCGATGGGATGAGGTCAAGCAGGTCAAGACATTCATTGACGGAGTCGTATTTCTGGGCATCTGGCACCTCAGCACCTTGACGCAGGAAGGCACTAAACGTAAGTGCCTCACGGAAGGTAGACGCCCCCGAATGGATGTCCATCTGCTCGCAGTAACCGGTGGCTCGACGGATAGCAAGGTCGGTAGCTGGGTGGCGATTGAGCAGAATGTCACCACGGATCTGTCCTCCAGTCTTCCTCCCAGCGATCACGTCCATAAGTGTCGTCTTACCAGCACCGAAGATCCCATAAGCGCTATAATTGTTCCGGGAAGTTCGAATCCGCTGACACCTTTAAGCAGGTCGATTGTGGTTTTGGAACCCGCTGGATCAGGGACCGAGTACCACAAGTTTTTGAACGCCAGTGTGACCGGAACAAAGTTCCTATCAGCTGGCTGGGCAATAGGGATCGAGCTGTCACTATTCGATTGTTTGTGTTGCTCAGCAGCCTTCGGGGAGCTCACAAGCGCGTAGCCATCAGACATTGACCCGACATTCTCCACTGTAAATGGTGTGTTAACAGGCTCTGCTGTACGTCTGTACTCGAGAATGGCCCAAGCAATCACCATAAACATAACGTACATTCCAATCATATAGGCGATTCCCAGCCACAACCAAAGACGCTGGGTTGGTACATCGAACGAGTTTAACGAGTACTCACTCATGGTGCTCCCATAAGTCTGGCAATAGTCGACACCCTCGTATACACAGACGTTAAAACTCGAGTCTGTGTACTGATTCACCGTTGCTGCGCGTAGACTCCAAGCCTGGGGACTAATCCAGTACATCCAGACCAAATAGTGTGGCATCTGGCCTCTCGTGATCACAAAACCACCAAAGAGGGTCATGAAATACAACGAGAGTTGGCTCACCGGGCCTGCCACATTCATATCTGGGAGTACGGACGCAAGCAAGAAGAACCACGCTGCAAAGACCATACTCGTCAGAAACATCACCAACTCAAACAATACGAACCCAGACACAGTCGAGACAAACCCACACATCCAGTAGATGATCGAGCCAAAGATCATTGTCTCCATTAGCGCCAGTGGGACCTGACTCACTGACGCTGCGAGAACAAAAGAAGAAGTTCGGTGAAAATTGGCTCCACGCTGTTTGTTAAACACGTCACGAAGGTCCATGAAGATCGGCATCTGCGAAGACTGTCCGACTGTCACGAAATTGATTGCCACGTAGATTATGCCAATGACCACCTGAACGTCCGATGCGTAGAGCTGGTAGAATGTACTACCGTTCAGAAGGCCCAGCAATACCGACATCAACAGACGACTTTTTATCAAGGCCTTATTGCGAAGTGTTACAGTCATTTGACGCCGAGTAAGTGTCGTCGGAATAGGATCCATGAATTTCTTCTTATCGACGAGCAGCGAAGGATCTAGCGGGGAGTTGAGCTCGATCCTCATTCGGTTGCAGATAGGCGATCGCCTGAACGCATCGGCAAGCTCGAATGCGGAGCCTGGACAGCCCCCCACCTCGTACTGCTGTTGCTTGTTCGTACCTAAATCCAACAAGAAATCTGCCACGTCACGATTCGCAAGACACCTGAAGCCCAGACTCTCGAAGTGGTTTAATGCCTCTGAGCGAGGACCGTGATACACCACGTACCCGTCGTTCAGCAAGATCACGTCGTCAAACAGCGCGAACACTTCTGGAGACGGTTGCAGTAGCGAGATGGCCACCGTCTTGTTCAGCGTCTTGGCCTGACTGCGCTGTGTCGAGATGAGGTCGAACGTCGCGGCGCTGTCCAGTCCCGTGCTGATCTCGTCCATCATGAGCACAAATTTGTTGCCGAACATCATCTCGCCTGTCGTCACGCGCTTACGTTCGCCACCCGATATGCCACGCAACATGGCGTTGCCTAGGATGGTGTTCTGGCAGTTTTCAAGACCAAGCTGACGGATGATCACGCCCGGATAATGTTTGTACATGGCTCGCAGCAAGTCGAGTGCCGATTGATTCTGCTCGGGTTTTCCATTCGAGTACAGCTGCTCCTCTGTCTTGGACAACGTATCTCCCGAGCACACGTTAGCGAACTCAAGCGTCTCCTTGACGGTGAGAGTGGGAAAGTGTTTGTCGTGTTGGTCCACGAAGGACACAAGCTGCGGCAGTCGTCTACAAAGCTCTTGTTGGGACGTGCCGTTGTAAGTCACCTGGCCATTGACTGAAATGCTCTTGCTAGTTGGGAATCTCCCACTCAAGATCTTGAGCAGTGACGACTTACCGGAGCCAGGCTGGCCCAACACCAATGTCATGGTGCCTGGCTACAGAACACCGCTCACGCTCCGTAGAATCTCCTTTTTCACAATGTGAGTCTTAGCAACCATCTTAGCTAGACCCGTCCTAGTTACATTCACGAGCGTAGGAAGCTCAGTCTTGAGGTTGGTCTCGTCCTTGACCACGACGTCAGCTGAGACGGCGACGTTGTGGAAGCGCACCTCAATCTTAGGAAGTGGCTGCCCGATTGCGGCCTCAATATTCGTGGCGATGTTCTTGGGGAGGTTGATCGCTTCTAGTGCCATTAGTGCATCTCCACTATCGGGTGGTAACTCGTTCATTAGAGACTATAGCACAATAGATGATATTATTAATTTAGTGCTACGTATTACAATAGAACGGTGAAGCAGCAAAAAAACCGTGCAGAATAGAAATCAATACCGATCCTTACTAGATCTTCATGGCCGCTGTAACTTACAGTGTAAAAGCATCCACCGGCTTGTTTTCAGCTAATAGATTTTTTACACTGTTCAGTATTTGATCGCCACGGTTTGCCGCATACCGCAATATTTACGCTTCTAGAAGTATATACCTGGGTTCGGTAACCAGCAGAGTGAGAACAGGCCTCCAATTCTCAGTAACTGGGCTCGCTATCATGACCCCGGGTTTATCCGGCGTTATCTTGGCATTGATCCAATTCTTAAAGAGTCGAGATTGTAGCTTCTCAAGAAGTTGTGCCACACCAGTGTCCGTTCTGACTGCTTTGTCCATTGCGAGCGATTGGAATAGCACACCAAAATCTGTCTCTTTGTGGTGAGGTTCTTTCATCAAGAGATTTAAGGTCTCCTTTGCGGAAAGCGTCTTCTTTACATCATTGCTGTAGTCGCAGGAGTACCGAAGCCATGCGATTAGCTCTGGTCGATAGAGATCGTCTGAGACGTTGTCTGCGAGGTGTAGCGTGGTAAATACTTCGGACGGAGTTTCTAGGGCCTGCAACCAGACCGTATTCATCATTTTGTGACTGGATTTCGCTGCGCGGAACATGTATAGCTGCAACGTGTTGGCAAGGTTCTTCATGCCCTCAACACGGCTAAGTGTCTGGAAGAGATTTATCAGGTCTTCGTTCGATTGGCGACTATGCCAAAGCAGATTGAATAAATGGTGCGTGGAGAACTGCTCAGTCCCTTTAGTCGCCATGAACTTGTTCGCGTACTGAAGCCAGTCAATGAAAGCCTTGCTGCTGCTGGTGAATTTAGTGGTGGCTTCTCCGAAGTGTAAGCGGTTGAAAACACTTGTAGGGTTCATGCTCACTTTCTTCATTAACTTGATCAAGACCTCATCGCCAAAACGAGAAATACTTGATGTGGTAGCCCTCTCTTCTCCAGAGACAATATTTTGTTTAACTTCGTTCGTCGTCGATCTTAATAACCTTGGTGAAGTTGATGTTTTCTTCAACGCGACAGGCTCGTGTTGGCTGAAGATAGCGATCTCGGCTTTGTCAGAGTAGACATGTGCTGAGATAGAAGCAAGTTCAGCGACGAGACATACGACCGAGAAGAAGATGCCGAGCAAGCGCATCATATCTGCGCAAGTGTGTGCTTGTCAGTAGAATGCAAAGTGGGTTTGTCTAGACTTGACAGCCCACTACACTCTAATCCAGACAACTGGATCAGCAGTGCTGACTGCGCAATTGCACTTCAGATCCAATCCCGGAATCTATGAGCCTCATGGATCATGGGATTGAAGATACCCTGACTGCTCATCATGAACCTCATTGTACAGTAGTACTCGGGGTACGGGTTTCAATGTAAATCTTGATGACGATCACAGTGATGTTCCTGCAGGAGCCATTAACTGACTTATAGGCAACCCGGAGCAAATGTTCCGGGAGAGTACACCGGTCCGGATGAAATTGTTCGTTAAACTCGATCCGATTGCGACAGAAAGTGAAATTCGTTGATTTTATGTGGTTTATTGACATTCCACCTGCAATACACAATACGTCATAAGATCAGACAAAGAGATGATGCACGCGTATCGTGGCAGGGCAAATCAATTAATTAGTTTAACTCTTGTTAATAACTCATATCACCATGTTTCACTTTGTCCCGCAAATGGCAGCCCCTTCGGTAAAATATATCCGCTCACACGAAGGTCAATGGGGTACCGAGATACAATCGGGATTTGTGGACAAAGGAAAGGAAAATACCTGGTAGGCCAGGAGTAATCTTGCGTAATGCATATGAAAAGAAACGAACTTATAAGTCAGTACGTGAATGCGACGTCAGTGATTATTAAATGCTGATAATATCATATTATGAAGCCTTACATAAAAATAACCGAAAGGTTTTATCAGGATAAAAATAAGGATATATTGTCTTTTTTTATCTTTTTATCGGTCTAAGCCTTGTAAATCGGATAGCACACGTTAGAAACACCCCTTCCCCCAGCCCCCCCCCCCAAAAAAAAAACATTCATGTGGTGGATTAAGTGCACGCCGCCTCCGGTTAATCTATGACGTCGGTGTCGATGCCCCACAGTGTAGTCTAGCCCCTCCCCCATCACAGTAAGGACGTTCGACGATGTTGCCGTTTTCACAGTGACGGAAGCAGGGTCCTAAAATGTTATTTTTAATAAATATATTTTTAGTTTGCAGTATTAAAATAATTTATTTTTGAGCTCCCACTTCAAAATCAAATAATTAATTCTGCGCTCTCTCCAGGCAGTAACCTTAAACCGGGCACGATGGAGCCCTACGGACCAGCGGTCCAGCTAAACCGCAATCTACAATCGATCTGCCGCGCTCTTGCCCTCTCATTTTGATGGTTGGTCGCTGAACCGAGCCTACTGGAACGCTGCCACAGTCCGAAAGGTTGTGCGTGGTGAGGCTCCCACCAACTAGACGAGTATCAGCCCACTGTATATTGCATACAATAACACCAATAATTTTTGCATCCGTGGTGCTCCAAGCACTTAAAATTATTTTTATTGCTGTTCTGCCAGTCTCAATAAAAATAACATTTTCGGAGCCTCTGGACGGAAGGAACAGCCAATACTAGCTTTGGAAGACAGTGGTTCGGATAAACATTCTTCCAGTGACACGAAAACGTGACCAACAAAGGAAGCGGGTGTGTGCTAAAGTGCATAAGCTCCTATGGGGAATCGCCCATGTACGTGCCTCCAAAACAGTCATCCAGTTCTCCAGCAATCGTTGCTGGCTCATTACCCAAACGCAAAACAGAAGACCACCGTTTAGTACCCTCCGCCTTGTATTAAGAATGGTTTGCGCCCTTTCAAATTGTAAGAGAGAGATAAAAGGATAAGACAAATTAAAATATTGTATCCATATTTTTATCCTTGATAACTATATTTAAAAAAAAATTGTGCAGTTAGTGCTGGCTAGCCAGACCGGTTACCGGACTGCTACCAAAAGTCCGCAAACCAATTAACTAGATAGATGCCAGCTAGTTTAAAGATACAATGAGCCAATTGCAGCGGTTGCTGTGTTTGTTCTAGCTCCATTACTGCATGACCCAACTTACTTGTTTACTGCACTGACATTTTGTACAAATTAACTGCACTGGCATTCGCTCGCAGTTCGCCACTACAAATCATACATACATAATCAGTACAGATCTCTCCATTTTAAAACTGAGCAAAGTTACGCTTTTTTTTTTTATTAACAGGCGCTTGTTTCTATGCAGGGGTTAAACTGACAGTTCGCTTAGCTGTACAAAGTGACAGTGCGTTCGTAAAGTGGTTGAATGGGGCGTGCGTTCTTTCCACTGACGGTTGCGTCGAGCTCAGCAAGATTCGCTTTGATGCGATCATATTGAGCTGAGGATATCCGAGCAGGCTTGCGAATCAACCACCAATCCACAAACTCGGTGCACGGCGGGGTTGTCAAGCTACCCGCGTAGTTGAAGAGGTGGCTTTTGCCAATATAATCGCTAAGTAGCTCCGAATACGAGCCCCTGCGTAAAAATTAGCACTAAGCCAATGATTGTCTAAAATATGTAGAAAATATAAACGTACAGGGTAATCGGGATGGTAGTATTCTTCGTGACGTCGCTCATTGCATCCACAAGAACATCTACTGCTGGTTCGGTGACTTCTTCATCAGTCTTCTCGATAAAGAGTCCGATCACGAGAGCTGCCGAACCGTCTGCGTTCTTGTGCACAAAATGGATTTCGCCATCAAACGCTTTGCCATTGAAGGTATGCTCGGAAGGGGCATGTACATGGAACTGGGCGAAGCTATACGAGATCTTCTTTACCGTAACAGAGCAATTGCCTTAATGAGTTGTCAGCTGAAAGTATCTTTGTTAGTAGAAAATCTGTAAAGCTCACGAACCTCCGTTTCCTGCCGCCATGTAAGAGTCTGAGGCCACTGTCATGGTATAGCGCGGGCACGAACCAAAGAACGCCAATGGGGGAGCAGCATGCAAACTACACAACTTGGGTGTCGCTACGTCAATAGGCGATTGCTTGCAACCGCCACACGTCGGATAGGCCTTAGGCCATTCGGACGGACTCAACGCATCTGAATCGTTCCTGTAGGTGAATTCTGGATCTCCAGCCAGAGCACTGACAACAGCAACAGCAGAGAACAGCAAACCAAACAGCGACAAAGTCATCGTGAGCGTGAAGGGGTAAAACAAAAGTGAACGAATTGAACGAGCTGCTGTTTGTCGTCGGAGGGATCACATGAAACGGTTAACCCAACTACCACGCTTCGACATAGGTTCAACGGCTACGGTGCCTATAATCTGAGACGGGCTCAGCAATACTATAGCCCACCAATGCAAACCATTTTACTCTCCAAGTATTCCTCCAGACCTTCAGTTGAGCCCTCACGCCCAATGCCGGACTCTTTAACTCCACCGAACGGAGCTCCAACATGGGTTACCAACTCGCTGTTCACCCCTACCATACCGCATTCCAACTCACTGGCAACTCGAAAGATCCGAGCCACGTCCTGTGTGTAGAAGTAACCAGCTAGCCCAGCCGTCGTGTCGTTCGCCTTCCGAACCACTTCTTCTTCACTCGAAAAACTGGATAACTGAATCACTGGACCGAAAATTTCTTCGTTCCAGATACGCATCGAATCGTCAACGTTCGTCAGGACTGTTGCTTCGTAGAAATTCTTGCCGAGATCACTGCATTTGCCCCCTACAAGTACCTTAGCGCCATGTTTCACAGCGTCTTCGACCAAGCCTGCCACTTTGTTGACGGTAGAAGGTCCGATCAAAGGTCCAAGTACCACACCGTCTTCTAGCGGTAGCCCCATTTTAAGCGTTTGAACTCGTTTCACCACGAGTTTAGCAAATTTAGCAAAGATAAACGAGTGGATGAAGATTCGGTTGCTAGCGATACAAGCTTGGCCGGTGTTGGAGAACTTGGATCTTATCAAACCATCGAGAGCCTCCTCTAAGTCGGCATCTTCAAACACGATGAACGGCGCGTTGCCACCAAGCTCAAGCGATAAACGTTTCACTGTCTCGGACGAATGACGCACCATCCATCTCCCCACTTGTGTCGAGCCTGCGAACGTAATTTTCTTAACATCAGGACTCGATGTCAACACTTCACCGACCACTTCGGATTTCTCTCTTGGTGTGGTGACCACGTTGATAACTCCTGGAGGGAAATTGACGTCCTCAGCGAGTTTGGCTAGTGCAAGCATCGAGAGCGGCGTCTCTCCTGCAGGTTTGACGACGGTGGTACATCCAGCAGCTAGAGCAGGACCCAGACTCAAACCTAGAATGGCATACGGAAAGTTCCAAGGCGAGATGATACCACAAACGCCCACCGGCTCCTTCATGACCAGAATCTTCTGACTCGACTGTGTTGGCGAGATCAGGAACCCACTGGAGCGTACGATCTCGTGGGAAAAGAACTCAATTACACCGACAGCGAACTCGATTTCCCACTTCGCTTCTGGAAGGGGCTTGCCACACTCCAGAGACCCAATAATTGCCAGGTCTTCTGCATTGGTGGAAATAACTGCGGCCCAGTCTTTTAACAATTTAGCGCGGACCTGAAGGAAAACGTTGGTCGATGTCAATAATTAGAATTAGGTAGCTAGTTAGTTTAAAATATTAATCTTACCGGTGGTGTAGTCTTCTTCCATTGATGTTGTGCCGCAGCCGCAGCAGCAATGGCTACACGAGTGTCTTTGCCTCCCATACTTGCCACACAGGCGATTTCCTGCTCCGTTGCAGGATCTAAAATCGTAAAAATAATGCTGCTGATATCTGACAAAAAAGCAAAAACCTTGATGCTTACCAGTGACTGTGAAGTGATCTCCGTCGTGTGCTTCGACCCATTTCCCATCAATAAATCCTTGTGCACTTACGAGATCGGGTCGCTGCAGCTTTGACAGAAGCGGTTGATACTGCCGCAATCCTATAGGAGCCAAACCTTGAGCTAATTGGGCAGTTGGGATGTTAGTAAAAGTCGCCATCTTCACACTGCAGCCGGAAACGAGAACTGAACTGCTGTCTTCCGTCTCCTCACCTTTCACTCGAGGTGCAATAGAATGACGCTGGCAGTTGACCAACGGGCATGTTACAGCTAGGAAATTAGGGACAAGACGAAGCGTGACATGTGAACGCAAGTACTACGCATTCCAGTACAGTTATTCTCAGTTACAATGTTAAAACTTCACCGCTGACTTGTCTCCCAATTCGTCGATTCATATACCAACGCATTGGACTTGGGTGGTGCCGGGTTACCAAGGATAATATCAGCAGCCTTTTCAGCTAACATAATGGTGGGTGCGTTGAGGTTCTCACTAACATTATTGGGCATGATCGAAGCGTCCACCACGCGCAGTCCTTCAAGCCCGTGCACTCGTGTCTGCGCATCGACAACCGTGTTTTTATATCGGCCTCTTTACCCATTCGATTCGTGCTGGACGGGTGGTAATCCGTACTAGCATTTTGCCGAATCCACGCGTCAATCTCAGCGTCCGACTGTACTCCCGCGATCGGAGAGATCGCTTCTCCTCGATATTCATCGAGCGCTTGTTGCATCAGAACTTCACGTGTCAACCGCACGCCATTGCGCATATCCACACGATCGGACTCAGTCGCCAAGTAATTGGGTTGGATGGCAGGACTGTCACGCGGGTTGGCACTTCGCAACTTGATGTAGCCTCGGCTCGTCGCGCGTAGTGCTGTACAATGCAACATCATGGCGTGGCCGTCCCGTAAGAGCTGACGGTCTTCGTCACTCGCACCAGGCAAGAACTGCCACTTGAGATCAGGATGCCGTTTACCGGATGCACTACGGAAGAAGCCGCCGGCTTCAATGTGTGACGAGGTGCCCATGCGAGTCTTGGAGACCAGCCACTGGATCCCCATCCACGCCATCTTGCGCGGGAAATGTGGCGTTGCATGGTAAAGCGTCACCGGTTTCTTACACGCGACATGGAGATAGACACCGAGATGCTCCTCCATGTTCTGTCCGACCGCGGGGAGATGGTGTGCGACGGGGACTCCGATCTTTCTCAAGTGCTCGGCGTCTCCCACACCAGAAAGCATCAGTAACTGTGGAGAATTGATCGCTCCACTCGATAGAATCACCTCTTTCAGTGCTCGAATTTGAGTCGCTCGGGTTTGAACTGGGAGACCGAAACCTTTAACGAAGCGAACACACTCACCATGACCTCGTGTAGTTACGTTAAAACAACCGAGACGATCGCCTGTCAGGGAGTCAGCACCACACTGAAGTACCACTGCCGAGGGGCAAAAAGTCTCCATCACTTTATCTATCACTGGCTTGAATATGCTTTCGTAGCTATCGTCATCCATGCCGCTGTGTAGTGGGAAGTTGACAGCGTAATACATCCCACTCTTTGCACCGATATCCTGTTCAAAACCAAGTTAAAGAACCTTATATCAGTCTACCCATTCAAGACCATCGACGGGCTTCAAGGAGTTAATACCTTAACGTCTCCCGTTCCAGGGAAGAAGTCGCCGTATTTGTGGAACGATACCGTCATCACACGGTCCGTGACGTAGAAGGCTTCCTCCACACCGTCACCATGGTGTGCATCAATGTCGATATAAAGCACGCGCGGGTGATACCTGACACCAAAACAAATATTAACGCTAGCCCCAACCATGTTTTTCTCCGTTAAAAAGCACTCGCTTTAGCAGCTCCAAGATGCCGAGCACGATGTCATTCACATAGCAGAACCCCGACCCCGACGCCTTCTTCGCGTGGTGGAGACCTCCAGACCAGTTGATCGCAATATCGCAGAGTCCGAAGTTCAGACGCGCCACCGCGTCTGATCAGCATAGATCTGAGTCTTCCTTCTTTCAATCTAGTAGCACTACTGTATGCCACGAACCTAGAGTTCCTCCGGCGTAAATTTGACAGAAGTCGAAAACGCCGTCAAACACGGGGCAGTCTGTGTCGCTCGTCTCTCCGAAGTTATCTGCACACACGGTTTACGTCCATTGCCCACCATAACAACCTCAAATTGACGTACATTTAGCCAGATCTATCGTTGGGTCCCGCTGGTTCGCTGGACTCACGTGCTGCAGGAACTCAATGTAGTCTGGCGCATGGAACACCTTCATCTCGTCTGCAGACGCCCAGTGCGGCTCCTACAGTACATCAGGGCACAAAACCCTTCAGCCCCCGCTCTTCATTTCCATATACCCAGCACTGTCCGTACGAAGACGTCCATCTTATGGTACAAGTCATAGTTGACAACCAGGTGATGCGCGAGTTTTATCCGATGCGGCTTCATGGGGTGTCCAGGGCGATAATAGAAGTGACCAATCTCAGCTGTACAGCTAGACCTGTCAGGACATGCAAGTGTTCCTTCAGCGCCTGGGTCTTTCACGTACGGTGATAGAAGTATGACACGCGCTTCTTCGACATAAGTCTCACGAAATTGCCGATTTCTACTGAAAGGCTGACAATCCCCTATATAATTATTCAGACTCCTCAAAAAAAATATTAGAGCGGTATTTGCGCACATTGTTTGCCCCTCCTAGGGGCCCCTACCGTTGTCCCCCGTACCAACCGCCTAGGCGTTCAATTTTAATACAACGCACAGTGTGCTTTGTATTTGTTTAGAGCGCCTAGGCGTTCAATTGAAGGGTAACGGTCAAAGTGAGACGAACGTAAGGCCCATTGACCCAAATGTATTAGATGTGCATTCCTTCCACTTGCAGGCAGCAGTACAGCCCAATTCTAGCTATGGAAATCGTTCTAGAAGCGTCGTCTACGGAGTACGTGAACGTCGACACGACCTTGCAATTGTAGTTGAGTGTTTTAAGCTCGATGTTGCATCCATGGTACTGAGCTGCTGCAAAAATCACGAGTTCGCTTCCGTCACTCTGTTCATTCCGGATGGACACAAGGTAGTCCTCGTCAAACAATCCGCTGAGCTCTTCGAGTTCTTGCATATACTGCGTCAGATCGGTAAGGTAGTCATCTTCATACCTAGCAAACGCGTGCCTAAGACAACAGAAAAGGCTCGAGCGAATATCTTCAGGCGTGTACCAAGCAGGTTTTTGGAGACAGAGTCCCTCCTTGTCATCGTCGCTGTCGTCGTCGTCGAACAGGTGCTGGTACCGGAGGTGCCATTCGTGCATGTCGATGCTAGAGTCAAGCAACTCTCGAAGTGGCGGGTGCAGTTCCGACTTGTCAAATTTGGAGCGCTCAACAATGCCACAGACCCGAAATGCCTTCCGTGTGTCCTCAGCTGTCCTCGTAGCGATCCAGTTCAAAACCCATTGTGCAACAACAGAATATTTTGGGACCTTGGTGTTTCCTGCCTTAGTCTGCAGCTTGGGGTCATCAAGTGCGCGTCCAATGTATTCGTCATACTGGTCAGAGTAAAAGGCTTGGAAGCTACGATTCACAGCCACATCAAGAGGCTGAAGAAGACTTGTCAGGTTAGGTGGTACCAACAACACGTGGATATTGTATCTCTGAAGACGCTTCTCGTTGAACAGCGAAACGTGGCACGCATACGAATCAATTATGAAAAGCACGTGCTGCCCGAAAAATCGTGTCTCCTTCCTGCTGCAAATGACAGTCTTCGCGTAGTCGATGAGAATTTTGTCGTTCCACATGCCGGTACTGTTAACATCCACAATAACGCCCTCAGGAACCGTCGGCTTGTGCTTTAGTTTTGAGAAGAGAAGATGAGGAGTTAGGAATTCGCCTTCACCAGTGATAGCGAACGTTGCTGTGAATCTCTTGTGGCTGCTTCCTCCTTTCCGAAGAAGCACTTCGGGTTCTCCACGAGTTGCAATGGTCCTGTTCGGCTCGGTTTCAAAGTACCGAGGAACTTGGTCCATATTAATCACGTTGCAGGGCAAAATGCCGTGCTCCTCAATCAATCTCTGAGCTGATTCGATGAATTCCAAACAGGATTCCTTGGCGTTTGACGGGATCGCTCTTGTCGTTGTATGGCGCCTTGACACGAGGTTGTATCGGGTCTTAAAGCGATCTAGCCATCCTGTTGAAGCGACAAAATTCTGCTGCGGTATGTCCTGCTGGGAACGGTGGATGTTCAATGCTTGAAGTTGGATGTATTTGTCTTTGACTCGTAGTCCCTTTTTGTTTCGGGCCGTTATCCAGAGATGGAGCTTCTTCTCGAGTTTGTCGAACTCAGGTTTACGTCCGGCACCGGGAAAGCGACGCTGCATGCGTGTAACAACTTGGCGGTCCCTTAAGGCGCCTTCAAGCTTGTCGAGTTGCTCCACCCAGCTGCGTACCATAGACGAAGACACCTTGTACTCTAGTGCCAGTGCATGATATCCGTGTCCTCTAGTGTTAGGCTTGTACTTGCTAGCGACTTGTCGTTTAAAGTAAAGGCTGTAACTGTTCCGCTTTTTGTCAGGTGACATTGCGACCGGAGCAGACAATTGAGGAATGCCGTCGAAGCCCAGGCCAGGCTCGCAAACCAAGCCGACGACGATAAGTTTCGTAGAACGGTTGGTCGAGCGCTGCTGATGAAGCCTCAGCTTGCTCTCGCAACCAGCAATTTGGTCGGGAATAGGTAGCGACTGTTGATGGCTAAGGTTCGTTATGCCGAGAGCCGCAGCAAAAAAATTAAAAAAATACCTCGAATTAAGCGCTTAGGCGGTTGGTACGGGGGAAGACGGTAGACAGAAATAAAATATTTATAACTATTGAGAGGATTGTTTGAAACCAGCCGTCACCGATTGACATTAAAGATGCGCGCAGCGACGTTCTCGATCCGTCGGGCGAGACGAACGCTTCAGACCTCGTCCTTCAGCTCAGCTGCGTCCTCTTCGTCGGGATTTCACACCGCTGCATACGTGGCTGTTGGTGGTGGCGCCGCAGCCGCCGTCGTGGCCGCGTACAACGGCGTCGTGCCGCATGAGTGGGTCATCCGGCAGCTGGCCGAGCCAATGATGCCCGTGGTGCGGATGTTCGAGCCCGAGACGGCCCACAAGATCGCCGTGCAGTGCGCACGCTTCGGTCTGACGCCCAAAGACCCGGAGACCGACCCAGAGCTGCTGCATGTCCAGGTTCTAGGCCTGGAGTTTACAAACCCGCTGGGTATCGCCGCCGGCTTTGATAAAGACGGAGAGGCCATGGAAGGGATGCTGGACATGGGCTTTGGCTGCGTTGAGATCGGTAGTGTCACACCCAAAGCACAGCCAGGCAACCCGACACCCCGTGTCTTCAGATTGCCCGAGGACAGAGGCGTCATCAACCGCTATGGGTTTAACAGCAAAGGACTCGAGCACGTCGGTGCCCGTCTCGAGAGATACGTCAGCTCCCGTGTTAACCGCCAGGACGACGGCCATCGGGCTGGCGTACTGGGCGTCAATTTGGGTAAGAATAAACTTACCGAAGACGCGGCGGCCGACTACGTGCAGGGCGTCCACGCGTTGGGCAAGTACGCCGACTACCTGGTCGTGAACGTGTCGTCGCCCAACACTCCGGGCCTCCGCACACTACAGGGCAAGATCCAGCTGCAGAAGTTGCTGGAGCACGTGCTTAAGGCACGTGACGAAGTTGCAGACACCGAGAAGCGCACCATTTCCCTACTAGTGAAGATCGCGCCCGACCTGACAGAGGACGACAAGCAGGACATCGCGGACGTGGCTCTTGCGCTCAAATTGGACGGATTAGTGGTGTCCAACACGACATTGAGTCGTCCGGATACGTTGAAGGGCGCTGCCAAGGGCGAGACGGGTGGACTCAGTGGCTTTCCTGTGCGTGACATGTCAACCAAGGTGCTGGGCGACATGTACAAGCTAACGAAGGGTAAGATTCCGCTTATCGGTGTTGGTGGCGTCTCTACGGGCCAGGACGCGTACGACAAGATTCGTGCTGGTGCCTCGCTTGTGCAGATGTATTCGTGTCTGATCTATGAGAGTCCGCTGGCTGTGCCACGTGCCAAGAAGGAATTGGCGGCACTGCTAAGTCGTGACGGCTACAAGAGCGTGATTGACGCCGTAGGCGCTGCTCACAAGTAAAGAGTGCTGAACCTCGTGGACGGTAGGCAGACTTCGACAGTTCTTGTCATAGAGCGACATTCATACCTGCCATGCCTACCGTCTTATTTCTAAGCTGTAAACACTTTTTCTTAAAATTAATACTGTAGTAGAGAACTTTAGTTCCAGGACCCCGTGCCGCAATAATCGCGTTCAGGATGCCGCATCCAAGATGATTAGAAGATACAACAACGTTGTTCATCATGAGCTTCATGCATGACGACACTTTATGATTTACAATATGACTCAAATTCTCGTTGCAGGCTCGTGTTTCTCGAAATTGATGTTTTTTATAGTGACAGTACTGGTACCTTCGTAAGGAATTAGTGGTCGCTTCCATACCACTCTAGTGTTCTGACTCTAGCGATGATTTAATAAAATAACTGCAATCAGAGTAATTTTAAGGATATAAAAAAAGGATTAATTTTGAAGCGTCTTCTTTGAAGATGTCCTCAAGGACAACTAACAAAACACACCACGATTCGAAAGATCAATATCGTAATAGCTTGGAAAGTGCTGGATGTCATAAAAATTTCTTCGGCACGTCCTAATCGCGCGTAAGAAACGCGTCTCGTGAATTCGCTCAAACTCGAGTTTATCCTAAACTTTAGGATAAATTCCTTTCGTGCTCAGATAGACGTAATGAGCGTCGACGCTCCTTGATCTTCAGTCAAAGACTTGGAGCACGACGACTAGGTGGGTCACTTAGCTGGGATCGCTTTCGCTTTGGTGGTGGCGCGCGGTTTACGTTCCTTTTCGTCGACTGCATAGCGTGGATGCTTGCAAGGATCAGTTAGCTTCCTCCCCGAGTAGAACTTGTCAAAGCAGGACTCTTCGCCACCCCACCGCTTTGCGCGGTAGAGCGAAACTTTGCACGTATCGCAAGCATAGCGGGTTTTGCAGCCCATTCGGGTGTGCTCGATATTCTCCACGTCGTGGTTCAACCGACAACACATCTCACAGCACCGCTGAAAGTTTCTTTCAATACTCACCTACGTCAGACGTTAGCAGCAGCTCTAAATTCTGCTCAGTAAAAGTTACCGCACCATTTTGTGAGCTCCAGGCTTTGACAACCGCAGTTCCATCCACTCTTTTCCAGTTTCAAAATGAATTCGCTTCTTGTAGCCAAAGGACAACTTGCGTTCCCCCTTCTTCATTACCGATCGTTGGAATCTGCTAGCGGTCTGGTCATAAGTAAAAGAAAATCGCCCTATTCGCTTATGTGTCCCGACAATTGACCCCCCCCCGGTTTCGACAATCCGCTGATTCACTGATTGAGACTGATAGCCTCTGTCCAAAGCATGTATAATACCAGGTAGCCGTATCTGACTCTCCGTCGTTCCAACAGATACAATTCCATTGTGCACAGTTCCATATCTGATCAAGTTTTACACAAGGTTAGATCGCCAAATATGTTGCTCCATTTTCGAAGAAGACGTTACCCTTTTTTCGGATTCCGCAGGTGTGCAAGACCAGTGCCATCAACAAGCTGGGAGCGAAGTCTGAGTAGGTCATCGTTCAATGAAGCGATAGTAACTTCGCTCACGAAGCCGATATCTCAGCACAAACGACGAATCTGCTCCATTGTGTTCGAGACATCACGATTGATAGTAAAAGGAGAATTCCGATGTGCCGAGCTGCTGCTTGTTTGCTGAGGAGGATCTGATAAAGCGGTCAAAATTGTTCAATACTTTGTTTGGGTCATCACAGTAGCAGCGGCAGGGTAGCACCTCGCGTTGCTTGGCTTATAAAAAGCTTCTGGAGTGACTCCATAAAAACTCAGCCATAATTCTACCCCCACAAACGAAAGAATGTCATCGAGGGTAGCTGCATCCGATGTACGTAGGCTTCTGTTAGCATACGAAGCGAAATTGGAGAGTATTGACGAGTACAGCCACGCCTCGATGAAGCACGCGACGTCAACACTAGCAATATGATGCTCTGACGTTCCGAACATTTTCTGTAGCAGCCTTGTGACGACAGCTCTGGATTCTTCTCTTGCTTTGTCCAGCAAAAATGCGTCCACATCGTCTACTTCGACACGCCCATCACTTAAAGTCACGTAGCTCCGGGAAGAAGTCGGGGCTTGTTTTTCAAGGTCACTTTAAGTGTCATACTCGTCGCTAGAAGACGTGTCGCTATCCGCCATGGCCGCAGGTCAGCGTCGAGCGCTCGTTGATTTGAGTTATTAATAGAAGCGGAAACACGGAGTGAATGTGAAGGGCTTTAGCCAATCATGTTTATCCTTAAAATTCTTGGTTAAGGATAAAGTAAATTTTGAATCGGAGCCAGCAATTTATTTTTATCCTTCGTTTTTAGGATGAATTCATCGGGGTTATGTACATGTCTACCGTACACTAAACAACCTACTTCGAAGTACAGAACATCATGTACTAGAATATTGTGAATTTCCGGCCAAATTTGCTCGTGGGTTGATCCATCCGATACAGCTTTCAAGTCATTTTGCGACCATCCGCTTCGCAGCTAAGTACGAATTCAGACTTAAATGAAATCTAAATTCGTACTTAAAAGGAGCCCTAGTGAGCCTAATATATTTATCGTTTCTTGCTGGACGATCCGTCCCGGAAATATCGAATAAGCAGCACAATACATGTAAGCTTACTTAAGAACATGATTACTGACACTACGGAATAGTGATTCACAACTCACTACTTTTGGAAAAACGTAGGACAGCTGTCGGATAACAAATATGATTTAATGTAGCGGGGTACAATCCAGTGTGCCCCCAGGTTACATAAAGAGTGACCCGTCCCTCTTGTGGACATCTGGTACACGGTACCAGGTGCTCTAGGAGCCAGTCATGACTACTTAGCTCCACTATAGGTGACCTCTAGTTTGTATGGAACCCAAGCTAAGCTTTCTTATAAATACATAAGTCTTACATCTGCTCTCCTAAGTAGGAAACCGCTCCCTCTGAGGCAGGGAACACGTGGACTATCGTCTACTTGGCTAGTAAATACCCCTAAGCACTTGCTCTGTGCAAGGTGCTGTGTGACCCCGTCACAGTTAACATTGGTAGATACAGCATAATAAAAAAAAATTAAGCAGTGGGGGGAGGGGGGGGTGCTTGCCGAGCCACACGAAGTATTGTTCCAATTGGCATCGCTTTTCGAAGATGTTATTTTAAGAACTATATAGTGCTTCGACCCTGTTAAAACGGCACGTTTTTTTAATGGCTATCGCAGCACCCAACCAAGTCTTGTTATTTAGTTTACGTGTTATAATGTGCAATGATCCATATTTCTTCCGGCAGCATTATCGCGCAAACAATACAATAAGGCCGTAGAAAGCCGCGGTCTTCTCGGAATCGCGCTTGGACGGAACTGAGCGCTGCTGCAGGCACCGGACTAGCTGACGTGGGGTGGACCAGCTTCCGGCGGATTATTGGACTCAACCCGTGGAGCGATAGCTGTTGTATCGCGTCAAATTGCCTCTACGTCCCAGCGCTGGCTGGTGTTGGCTGCCCTCACCTTGCTTGAGTCCGAGAAAAGAAGATTACGATGTATGATACATAAAAAGAAGATAAAATACAAAAAACGTGATACATCATGTATCATGTTTTTTTGGCCTGCGCAGGGGCGGCGGCGCTCCGAAGGGTCTTCATTTCTCGACGGCTCACTATTGGAGCGCTACGATCGGCAGTGGAAAATGCATTGTGTCTGCTCCAATTGGAGGTATTAGGGGGGGGGGGCAGAATTGACTATTTTGCAGACATTTCTGGCTAAAATGACTACCATATTTTTATGATAAGCGACCATTTACATTTCGAAAATGGTTCACCAAAACCGGTCGGCGCGTTGCGTACATCACGTACCGCAACTGCTTTGTCGGCGGGTGAGACGTTCCGTTCACCCTACTCGACAGGTCGGCATGACCAAGAGACCTGTGCGATGATTGCACCAGGTCGACATGACGAAGGGACCTCTGCGATGATTGCACCAGGTCAGCGCTTTGCCTCGTGTGTGGTTGCGTGCACCACAACACTGCTGATTCGCTCAGCGATTCCGAGGCACCTAGCGCCAGTGTTTTCCGTCGTTCTGGCTTGTTTGGTTAGAGCTACCGGTAAGACCAGGGAGGAAAGGTATTTCCGAGCCTCTCCCCACTTAAACTTGAGTCCATTGGGTCTTCCGTGGCATGTGATAGCCACTGGCAGCCCGACGGCTACCTGCCTCATGGATCGTTAGGAAGGAAAGGTCCCCCCCCACTTAGCTGTGAGACTATTGAGTCTCTCGTGGCTTGTGATAGCCACTGCAGGCACGACGGCCATTCGCCTCGTGCACTGCGCCGGCATGGACGGCCGCGGCGGACGTGCCGGCCAAAGGCATCCAGCCCGGTGCGGAGCTATGTTACCCGACTTGGCTGTGTGGAACTCGGTTACCCATACCGGAAGCGCATAGAGCGACTTCCTTATCAGTTATGGTCTGAGTGACCTTGCGTGGAACTCTGTTACCCACGCTCGGAGCACCGAATGTCGCTCTCCTGAAGCATATCCGCTGCTTGCGGAACTTACTACCCGCAATGTGGACCTATGTTACCCACCTGGTGAATGCCTTTCGGCAACACCACTGTCGAAGCCCATACGGCGCGACAGCCTCCGGTGTTGGGATCGGCTGGTGTGGCGGACCCACACCGGACAGAGATGGTGTCCACCGACCGAGTCACAGGTGTCCGGGCCCTGGACTCTGAGTCGCTTAAGGTGAGGTCGGTCTGAACAAGGTTATGACGAAAGGGGAGCTTGATCGACTCATCCAGTGTATTTCAAGTGTAACGGGCCTACTTTAAGCCCACGACTTCGGCTTACACGCAAGCACACGTGTATGAGGAAGCGTAAGCTTCGTTTTACTTAGATTAGCTATACTTTCGTCCGAAAGTATATATTTACTTAAGTAGGAAAGTAAAGCTGATTTCTGGTAAAATGAGAGCTGTTTATTTGTTTGTTTGGGTTTTCTCCTAATCAAATATTCAAAATGAAAGATATTTATCAACGAATGGTTGACAAAATCCTACTATTCTAATTAATGAGGATACTGACTTTCAATTAATGAATGCCTTGAATGCCTGCAGACCAACAGTCTGCCAAATGTAGCCATTAGTGTAACTAACACCAATGTGGAAAACCTCTTTCGACATCAAGTGGCTATGTGTAGCCACTCGCGTGTAACCCCGCTAACCCCCCCCCCCCCGCCGTTAAGCTAAGACTTCTCTAGTCTTAACACATCATTCAAAGATAACCATTTTATGGGTCGACCGCTGCGCAGGTCAAAATTGGGTCAACGGTTTTTTTGGGTCAAATTGGGATTGAAATGGCATTCACCACTTTTGTGATCAGTTTTAGCTAAAATATCATCACTATAATCAGGTGAGTGTATGTACAGTAAGAAAAAAGCATTAAAAAAACACTTCTTATCCTGTGTCCTGGTATTGTTTGTTTGTGGACCGCCCGGTTGTTGGTCCGATTAACGATGTTCTCGCGCACGCTGTTAATGTTCCACCACTCCGATTTAAACTTGTGAATCCATATTTTCTTGAAATATTTCCAGAATTTCTTCCAGTTGTCTCTCGAGTATCTGATTTTCCTCTCGCGGCAGTCATGCTTAATTTTTAGAGCGGATCTCGTGGACACCTCGAAGTGTAATGTTCATGCGGCGAATGATTGTCAATATGTCCATACATCCTTCCCGCGTCGCCAAGTCCACTTCATTTTTCGTAATTTTTAACTGCGATATTTTGCGACAGAGCGCTTGCTTGAAGTGAAAAGGGCATCCCACAATTCTTGCCTCTGGATATTGGTACTATACAGTCTTAATCATTGCAAACACAAAGCCGCAAACGACGTGCGCCGGGGCCAAGTTTTGCTTTGAGGAGACGCAAATGTTGCTAAACAGCCGATTGTACGCTTGGGACGTTTTTACAGTCGTTAGTTTATACCAAACTGGCAAATATAGCTCGGAGATGGAGTCATAGAGCATCACAATTACCAATTGATAAAACGGTGTTGGCACACATCAGCGGAATGCATCGACAAAAATTGAGCTCTGACGCTACTTTATACGGTCCATGAGATGGGGGTGGGACCGGCCGACCAGTCGATGTTGTACTTCGTCTTCGTAGTAAGTCACATGAAATTGAAAAACTTCAATCCACCGCTCTCTTTAACGTCGCAAAGCGGCTCCTGCTCCAGCCGACCAAAAATCTCCCTTCCAAAACGTTTCGCTCTGGTACGATATAGTCGACCCAAGCTTGCTTTTTAGCTGCACCTTGGGCTATTTCGCTGTCACCTCCGTAAAATTGGTCCCGGACCATGCGCCATACTTCGGTGGAAGTCAGCGTGACATCTCGGACACAAACTGTATCCGTTGTCACCATCATTTCTTCCATACGATCAGTGATTGCTGGAGCTGGCCCAGCGGGAGCCCGACGGAATTGATGAACACAATTGGACATGGGCGCTCCAGCCTCAACGGCACCGAGGTCACTCACATACAGCTTCGTCTTGCATTTGGTGCGGCGATAGGCACTGGATCGATAATGAGTAGTACTATTGTGAAAATAATATTAAACGTAGAAATAGCCGCGGAAATGGACACTTCTCGCTCCCAAAGTAGCAACGAGACGATTCCCAGGTAGGACTTCGGCTTGAGATGTCACTTCAAGTTGATGACCATCATTCGCTTCACTTTCGGAGTCTGATGATTGGCTCGGAATGATTATCGTTTCGTCCGACGGTGCGTCACTGAGTTCAGATTCGTCAGACTGGAAAGGGTTGGTCATCGGATCGTCGGAGGCGTAGTAAGAGTTCATGGTGCTTGGTAGTATGGGTATTGTTGATGTACTTGGAACTTGGTAAGCTCCTAAGTGCCATATTTGACACGCTAAAGGTATCGGCTACATTAACGGCGCTGCAACTACGATAGCATGACACGACTTTGCGATCGA